TCATATACCTACTTTATATATTTTAGAAATTGATAGTTCTGTACTTAAAAGTGTTCAAGTTTCATCTATTGTTTGCAGGTTTGAGGTTTGTACAAAAATGTTTTAAAAAGTTATCGTGTTGCCATGACAAACATGACGTGAGCAACGCGGGCCTGCGTTCAATGTTGGCGTAATTACGAATACTTAATGTTGAAACAATGTTTGGAGAATATAGGCGAGGGGTTGTTGCATGCATGTGTTTCTAGTATTATACATAAGCGTACGAGACAGGGGAGCAGGGAGCAACTGCTCCCGCCCAAATTTTGGAAAACCATGGAAATTGGCCAAACTCTAGGAAAAAGTCAAGAAATTTCCGGAAGATTTATCAGAAAATATGCTAAAATCAGGTTAATTCATTACAAATTGTCCGTAAAAATTCGAGCAAACTTTCACCTTCCCCCCCCCCCCTAGAAAACATCAGCCCCGTTCTCCTATGATATTATAGATTATTACATAAAAGTAATGAGCATTGATTAGCAAAAGCAGTCCAGATATCGTCGACCCAAACTCACGTTGCCGTCTTGAACTTTGATAACGTAGCCATTATATTACTTGAAATAACGGCGTGAACTAGGTTCAATATATATGGGTCGAATTATAAGGAGGAATTGCTCCGATCAAACCATCTCATTACATACATATATATTTATGCATAAGACCGGTGTTCGTAACTGACTAAGATTAGGAAACTTTAATTAACAGTGATTTTTGCGGCTACGAGTAGCTCTTCCGTATACGAGTACGAGATTCGTCAAGCGAAGTGCATGTTAGGCTACATGCTTACGCAATCCCGTACTGACGCGATGGTTGTAATCGTAAATGTCGTTGCCGTTGCCCATCTGAGTACGAAATTTTAAAGAAATCTCGTAGTCTTCACGACGACTTCTTCAAAAACAAAGAAAGTAGAAATATTTGGTGTGGTCCTTGCGTTTATCCGGCGCATTTTTTTTTAAACGGAAGCGTAAATTACAGCGGAAATGTTGAGCTAAATATCTAAAATTCTGCCGTCCAGTCACTTGTACTGGCAGATAACTACACAATTTTGACAGATAAAGAATCCAAAGCAATCAACTTCTACCATAACACGTTTAAAATCAACTTCTACCATAACACGTTTAAAAGGTTCTCAGTTGGTTTATTGGTAATAAGAAACTTTTATGCAGCTTCGTTTTTAATAGAATATATAATTTTTTTTACGTTTGCATGGCGATAAAACATATAATAGTTTTGTTTGTGGAAACACCACGTAAATTTATTACTGCAAAACTTTCGATCCATAAGCCCGGATCTTCATCAGCGCTAATAATATATAAACATAGTCAATGCAGTGCTATTGCCAAGTCGGTGTAATTATTAAATTAAGGCCGGAAAGAGAACTACTTTTATAACTTTTAGGAACTATTAAAATTATAGTAAAATTGTTCCTTGTTCTCCAAATATAAATGGAAACAGTCATTTATACACATTTACAAAATAACCGTAAAACGATAACAGATAATCCCGAATTAAGCGAGATTATAACCAAAATATCAAATGTGGCAAACGTTTCCAAAATTACAAGAAGAACAACTTAATTGTGCAACCGGCAACATTGTAAACTGTACTCTTTTTGCCCAAAATATGCAGAATATTTAAAGACTTTCCGGCCACAGTTAAAAACATTCATTTTCCGAAATCGTTTTGACGTAATTTAAGAAACAACGCCTATAATTATTGTAAGTGGATTCTACGTTAATTAAATTAAAAAAGTTTAATTTAAAAGAACGCGACGCTTAATTAATGAGGTCTTTTGTCCTTTTCTTTGACCCCATTGGCCCGTCATACAGAAGACGTACGTGTTTATTTTAATTGGTGGGCCCTCCCTGCATTCGTTAGAGGCGAGAGCGAGGGTTTGGTGTTAGTTGCATGAATTCACTTGAAGACAGCAACAGCAGGAGACACGACAGGATTTCAAGACGAAGGTCTCATGAAGGGGGCAGATTAAATTAAAAACACACAGAAAACAACATATCAAATTGAGTTACCTTACTTTGGAAACTCCAACGCATTTCAAGGATAGGGAAAGAGAAACGAGGTCAATACATTAATACTACGAACACATTTCAAAAGACAGAAAAAGTGAGATACCGCGAGATATTAAAACGAGGATTTGACGAGATCTGATACAGGGCAGATTTGAAGATCTCATAAAAAAACTTGAAGATCAAGAACGACGAAAGGAGACCGAAAGATCAGAGAGACTAAAAGAGAAAGAAAACTTGAGATATAAAACCATCCACAAAGGTTAATGAATATTTAAGGAAACTTGAAGACCAAGAGAAAATGACAAATAGAACTATCATAAAAATGGTTTTACAATTCAAAAAGTCTTTGTCTTCAACTCGTATTGTTCCGGAACCCTTCACTTCGCGAAGAAGAGCACTGTTCTTAATTCTGTTCTTAGTGTACGAACTAAGCTTCGCAGTAGAGGGAAAGTCAACAGCTAAAATGAATGCATTTAAGAATGTCACTGTCTTGAGTAAAACAGGCAGATATCTCACTATTGGCAAAAGAGGAATAACGGGAGAATATTCAAACAGCCCTTATGGTAAGAATATCCTAGAGATAGGAATATATATATATATATATATATATATATATATATATATATATATATATATATATATATATATATATATATATATATATATATATATATATATATATATATATATATATATATATATATATATATATATATATAGTTCTCTAAATCGTTAAGTGTGTTACGTAAATGTGCTCAAAACTAATGATCATGAGTATGTTCCACTTGGTTAGTGTAATATCCGTTTAAAACCAACATGAAAATGACCCAGCTTTTCAATTCTTCAAACATTTATTGATACCTAGCTCTGTTGCTTTTCTAAATAAATTTTATGGGTAAATAATATTACTATATATAACAATTTAATAAACCTAATTATTATATATCAATAGTCGAAGTCGCATTTTTCTAGTGTTTTATTGGTCGAGAGCATATTCAGAGTGAGAGTGACGAAATTAGGCTGTCTCCCTCGCAACAGCGCGAGAGGGAGATAATACGCTATCCACCTGCGAATAACGAAAAAAAATCATGTGAATCAAAATTCACGTGAAGATGCGGCCTTTGGACATGCCTAAAAGCGTGCGGATTTTTTTAGCATTTGTTTAATTTAACGTTTTAACAATAAAATATTTCATTTATTCTTTAATCGAAGGTCTCGGGTCCACAAAACATATACTGTTTCCTTCGCTACCAGTGAATAAGTGTTAACTATATAAACTTAAACAACCAAATCACAAACATACCTCACGTTGACGAATATTATTTAACACAGATATTCCACAATATTTTACCTATATCCATATAAAAAATAATTTGCTAAATATTTGATCGTTTGTCGTAAACGTAAACTCGCTTACGTAAACAATATCATGCAAATAGTTCCATAACTTAATTAGTTTATATGAACATGAACATATACCCCCCCCCCCCCAATTATCGCGTCTAGCTACGGCCCTGGTTGTGGCGGCTTTCAGCTCGATTGAACAACAACAGGAACTTTAAAGGGCTTAATTGGCAGACTGAGTATGCTAATTTAGTTTATCACATTTGAAAGAGCTTCAAAAATTATTAATAACAGCATGTTCATATTTTTCTTGATTCTTGAAATATTTTGGTTGAAAACAGTGAGCTGTCGGTCATCTTAGATTATTCAGGATATATGCATGTTAGAGGGTCCTATATGGTCTGGAACTTGCTTTCTAGCCCACTTTTG